ATTGTATAGCCCTAACTTAGAAATGCTAATTTCCAAGTAAGGGCTATACAATTATAAAACAAAGTTCTCGTAGCGCAAAGTGATGTTCTGTGATAGGATTACTTGGTGTAAGCTGCAGCCAAAAAGCCAAGGAAAACACAACATGTTTTGCATTTCAAAAGTTGAAACTAGCAAACGTTTTTCAATCGGTTTTTTTATTAAAATCATACATCATCACAGTGGTTTATTAACCAATATTATTTTCCTAGAAGAGCCAAAAATGTTTGGACTAGCTTCTTTCCACAGCTAAAACTCACTAACTTGAGGATTTCTGAGATCAGTGTTAAGAGTAGCTCGGTAAAATGAAATGCTCTGTTGTTGTTTAATAGTTTGTAGCTAGGAACTTAGAAATCCTATTTAATAGATACATTATAAATCTGTAATGCTTCCCTCTGCTCCCTCTCCTCAGAGCACAGTCCACGCCATCACGGCCACACAGAAGACCGTAGACGGCCCCTCAGGTAAGCTGTGGAGGGACGGGCGCGGCGCCTCTCAGAACATCATCCCCGCCTCCACCGGGGCCGCCAAGGCCGTGGGCAAGGTCATCCCCGACCTCAACGGGTACAAGCAACTTTCAGATCATTTTATATAGGGTTGTGACCAGGGTTACTGTTAACTGAAACTAAATAACCAAGACATCCTTGAAAAACTACAACTAAACTGATGCTCCCAAACTCCCTTGCTAAGTGAATCTAAGCTACGAAGAAATTGAAACATCCAAACTAAAATAATTGAAAATAGAGAACAATTAAAACCTTGGTTGTGACTTTAGGAAGCAGCCGTCAACCAGGAGGACATTGAATGTTTGTATGTATGTATGTATGTATGTATGTATGTATGTATGTATGTATGTATGTATGTATGTATGTATGTATGTATGTATGTATGTATGTATGTATGTATGTATGTATGTATGTATGTATGTATGTATGTATGTATGTATGTATGTATGTATGTGAGCTACACGATGATCCCATTGATAAAAAGTGGCAGGTCCCCAAACTCTAGAAATATTTCATAAAAGTAGGCAGCTGAGTACATGCAAAAACGGTTCGCATTGAGGCTGATCATATACTGTATGGGACAGACCAGAATTAAGTATTGACATTTTCTAGCTGAGTTCGACTTTTGACCTTCCTTTGGAGGAGATAATCAAGGAGACGTCACCAATGGGAATAAAACAATAATACACAATAATTTGTTTTGATGTTTTTACTTTGTGTCTGATTGTTGACAGTCCTGTTTTTACAGCAAAATCACCGGTATGGCTTTCCGTGTCCCCACCCCCAACGTCTCCGTCGTTGATCTGACTGTCCGTCTGGAGAAGCCCGTAAGTATCTTCTAACTTTTATTAAATATAAAGGTTTAACCAAGTGGCTGCTTAACTTTGGAACTAATATACAGATGAAAACATTATTTTTCAGCTATTAACTAGATCCCACATATTTATTTTTGACTGTACGTTTGGGGTCGGAGAGGAAGAAAACTTGAGCTCAACCATCCACTGAATTTCCATACATTTGTATTAATAACACTCTGTAGCATTGAGGCATAATTATGTTACTTAGACTTGCACCTATATAAAGCTTTAAAACCTTTAGTTTAAATTAATAAATATATCTCGTCCTTCAGGCCACGTACGACGACATCAAGAAGGTGATGAAGGCCGCTGCTGAGGGACCCATGAAGGGAATTCTGGGATACACAGAGGACCAGGTACGGACAAATGTCAACATATTCTCTTACTATGTTTAACTATAAGCGTGTCTGAACATAACAACAGTCTGATGCAATTTTTATGGGTGTGTGTATAGCAATACAAAATCCACTAGATGTCAGCACATCTATTCTGCTACGACATGGTCTCAACTTAATTAAGAACTCATAAGGTATATTTAAAGTAAAAAGAAAACTATTTATAATCCATAAAGCCAGATCTGCAGATATTTGTAATTACTTATTCATCCCTATGTTGCTGCACGGCCTGCCTTATGCCACTTTTATCCAGGACCAGAAATGACATACTGATGAGTTTATGTCCGACACAAATCTGTATTTACTGTCCCCCTGCCTGTATAAACATTTGTGTTCATCTCTTTCTGCTCAGGTTGTGTCCACAGACTTCAACGGCGACACTCGTTCCTCCATCTTTGATGCTGGCGCCGGCATTGCACTGAATGAGCACTTTGTTAAGCTGGTTTCATGGTGAGTTAAAACACACCAAAAATAGGACATGTTTCTCCATTAATAAATATTCTATAATATATGCAACTTCAATCTCTGCTCACTGTTTGTCCGCAGGTACGACAACGAGTTTGCATACAGCAGCCGTGTGTGTGACCTGGTCCTGCACATGTTCTCCAAGGAGTAAAGTCCTGTCATGACTCATAGTTTCCTTCCCATGATTCCCTCATGCTTCACCTATGCAGTACCTGGATGTTGTGTCATCCGCCCAAGGAGCAAACATCTTCCTCAACAAACGTCTAGATAATAATATAAATAATAATATTCATAGATTTTTATATGATAAAGTCGCCTCTGCTCTGTCCAGCAGTGAAGTCTGCACTAAGCAGTGTTTGTAGAGAGGATTTTCCATCACTGAACTGTATTGTACTGAATGGTCTTGTTGCACTTGACATGATAATAAAGTCCTCAGTTTGTGGAAGAGTTTTTTGTAGAGTGCATCTCTCTCTCTAGACATATGTTTATTTGTATTTATTGTAATAAATAAAAATCAGTGGGCTGTTGAAAATTCCCAGCCAGGACCCTAAAGCTGTTAATCTAGTGCCCAGACAAATGACTTTGAGTTTTGTGCAGAATACAAAATTCATTTCTGGGATGGCGGCCAAAATCTAGTCAGGAAGGCAGGAGGAGAGTTAGGAGAAAGCCATACAGGAAGTGTAGTTTTCTGGGCCGACATGTCACTCTTGATCATTTTATATAAATAATGTGTCTCTCTTATTTACCTCTGACAATTGATAATGACAGTCTCGCCCCTCCTCAAACTATGAGGGTGGTTTACACGTCATTTTAAATTCACACATTTGTATTGCAACAAATAGATTTGTATCTGGAAATGTCTATAGTCCTATATGTTGTATAAAGGGTAGCCTAGTGTATAATAAAATTTAAATATATTTTGATATGTCACTGATGTCCAATTTCCAGGGTTTACAAAAAAGTTAATTGCTTTCCTTTCATTGTCTGTAGTTGATTTTAGCCAAACTTAATTTAAAGAAGTAGCTGTTAAAACCAATTTTAATCCAGGATTTTACAACTTTTTTGTTGGAGCTGTTGATACCGGCCCAGGCAAGTGCCATTGAGTTTATTTCAGAATATCCAATTAGTATTAGGGATAAATATAATCAGCTGGTCAGTGGCAACTATACAAAGAGGCGAAGGAGTGGAGGGTTACTGGGTAAAAAGGGAAACAGGGAGGAACACCTCCAATGTCTGACAACTGAAATAACTTATTGTCACAAAAGCCCAGAAAGTTAATGAGTCAGAACCATTTTCATATTTCTTTTGATAACCTTTTTCAAATGTATTGGCTGTTAAACGTAAAAAGGATACATTTCATTGTTGCAATATAGTGAATAAGAAATTCAGAATGCTAGCTTACTTAGGTGGGGTAGGTACATTTGAGAAACCGGCTTGAGATCGCTAGAATTTGAAAATACACAGCCGGAAAAAATCTCCCACTTCCTTACAGAGCCCCTCCTCCAACACACACGAACACGCACATGACCAATGAGGGCACGAGATAAGTTTGTGCACAGATGGAAGGCTGACAGACAGATAGGCCATCCAGTTATTTTAGCCGGTCCGGCTAAAATGATTGGTCGTGCTTTTTACACGCTTCCACAGATGACATTTTTTTATGGATTTTTTGTCAAAGCACTTAAGATATTCATTGCTATCGGGATGTTAAGAGCATTCCATGGAATATAACAAAAAGTGTATCTCGAGCCGATTTCTCAAACTTACCTACCCCACCTTTAAGTTTACTAGTTTTAATGCAAAGTGTTTTGTAGTCACTAAACATGTATTAAGAAGGATGGGTGATGTGTGTGTTAAGAGAAGGTTAATTGGTTACCAATCAAGCTAAAATCCTGTAAACATTATTCATTTGTGCTACATAATGCTTCCTTGGTGGAAGGAGTTAGCTAATAGTTTATTCAGCTGCAACCACTGTTAAGTCTGGGAAAGATAATGGATATTTGTATTTAACATTTTTATTTTAAAACACTTTCTTTTATGAAACGTTACCATCCATTCAACATATCCATGACGTTTTAAATCCCCCTGGGCTGCTTTACCACAGGTGCACCTCTACTTTAGTCACTACGGTATCTGAGCCAGACTGCAAACTGATCACTGCTCCTCTTCCACAGTCTGTCCGGTAAGTGAACGCCGCATTCAGTCATTTGTGTTTATCGCTGAGCTCTGCTGCACCGCTGCTACACTCTCCTCGGACTCATTCACCTCATTATCTGGTGCCAAAGTTAATGCTTCCTCCTCGGTCTGGCAGGTGCGTACATTTTGGTTGTGGCTTCAATATATCTCCTTAGCGCTTTATTCTAGGGGCTTAGAATAAACAGTTTGTGATAGTGCGCGTCGCCACTGAGATCTCTCGACTAGAATTTAGTCCTGCGTAAAAGTAAACTCAGTCATCTTATTTTGCTGCAGCGACCAGCGGTGTGTCTGCGAGTTTAGAGGTTTCTATTTGTACTTTATAATAACATTTATACTTCACAGCTCATCGCGATAGGTTTACTATAATATCCTATTGGGGGGTTGTTATTTTTGCTGCGATTTTAGACCCGTAAAGAATCATTTAACCCCCGTCATCTGACTTTAGGCCACAGCTCCTCTGCGTAAAGGTGAGCATCTGGTGTGACCAGTAAGGGGGGCAAAAACAAGGCAGCTGGGCCTCATTCCGGTTCGGGACTATAATCAGTTTATAGACAAAACAATTTGAACTGTTGAAAATAGACTGCAGAAGTCTGGGTTCATGCCGGATTTCGAGCACTTCAGATTTTCCTATTCGAGCATGAATCCGGCCCTGGGGGAGAGCGGCTTCCTGGCCCCGCAGCAGCACCACCACCAGATGCCGGGCCAGAACGACTCCGCTATGATGGAGCCGGGCTACTTCCTGGGGGACCACGGTGGCTTCGGGCCTGATGGGTTGTCCGGGCTGGACCTGGGCTCCTTGCCGCCGTCGGGCCTCACCTACCTGCACCTGAGCAACCCCTTGCACCGCGGACCCCCCGCGGCCACGGCGCTGCGCAACGACCTGGGCTCCAACATCAGCGTCCTGAAGACCCTGAACCTGCGCTTCCGCTGCTTCCTGGCCAAAGTGCACGAGCTGGAGCGCAGGAACAAGGTGCTGGAGAAGCAGCTGCAGCAGGCTCTGGAGGATAACGGTGGGGGGGATGGACACCAGAAGCCGCAGACTAAAGACATGGGGGTCCAGACTGGATTTATCGGGCCTATCCAAGCCAGACCGGGACTCATATCGCTCCACAACGCCAACAACTCGGCCTACCTGCCCGGCGGCCTCCTCTCCCCCACCCTGAACCCCCCTCCTCTATTTGACAACAAACACCTGCTGGGGAACAACCTGAACCCGAGCTCACTGTCCACGGATTCAAACTCCAACCTCACCACTTCCGGCTTCTCCATCAGCCCGGCCCTGAGCCCAATGGACCCTTCCAAAACCTTCACCAACATCAACGAGAAGTACACCTCTCACTCCGGGACGAACACCAACTTCATCACCGCGCCGCCCCCCCCGCTTCCTCCCCGGGACGCTCTGGTCCTTCAACCACAGCCGCCGGTTTGGCTCCGGGAGGGAGTCCTGCACCTCGGGCCCCGGGGCCCCCTGGACGCAGCCGGACGGGGTTGGGGTCCAGGTCGACACCATCACACCGGAGATCAGGGCCCTGAACAACGTGCTGGCCAAGGTGAAGAGGGAGAGAGACGAGTACAAGAGAAGGTAAGGGTTGTTTTTAACCTTAAAGTGTATCACTGTACACATGACTGGATTGTTTGACAAGTGTCTGATTTCTGATGCATAGTGTAAAGTGACTTTGAGTTTCTTGGTATGGCTTATTTTTGTGGGTACTTTATTGATCCCAAATTGGGAAATGTTTTCGTTGCAGCAGCATAAAAATGCAAACATTTCCCAAATTGGGATCAATAAAGTACATCTTATCTTACCTTAAATCAAGGCATTGCACATAAGTAGAAATTAAAAGAGTAGAAATAAACTATTCTAAAATGTGAACATCTCAAAATAGGAAAAAAACAGCATTCAAAAGTAGAAAATATACAAGTTGACTGTGAAGATTATAACACACAAATATGAACACCTGACTAATAGCAAACACATTTTAATTAGTTTGCCTTGATATTCAGGGAAATAATAAGTTGATATTACAATAACAGTGTGATCTTATTGTCATGATCTAACTCAGAGAGATACTATGGAAATATTGGTCATTTCCTTCATGAGGGTAATTGTGAACATCCCCACACAAGGGAATTCAAAAAGCTGTATAGCTTAGTACATTTTCTGTTTTTGATATTATCATCTTCATCCTTTTTTTTATGCTGGGATACCTTATTTAAGATTTTCAGTTGCATCTCATCTTGGTTGGTCATCAGCTCTCAACAACATATGTATACTCTTATTTTACACATGTTGTGTTTCAAGAACTTATTTGTCTTGCTTCATGTTGTATAGATGTTCAAAATGTAAAGTCTGTCAGTGGCAGTGTATTTTTTGAGAGCTGATTTCCCACCTTACTGCAAATGTTTAGCTCCTGCTCCACAATTTATTTTGAGGTTTTTATGCACCAATGGCTCTGAAAAGCTGAAATATAATTGACTGATATGAATGTGTCACCCCGCAAGGATTTTGCCAAACAGTTTATGCTGAGGTAGCAATCACTTCCTCTGCTTGTATTGAGTCATCGACAGCAGTGCTGCAAAATGCTGAGCAGGCCTGCTGTAAGGCAAGGTTTACAGGATTTGTACATTACATTTATTTCACTGATGATTTCACCCAAAGCAACGTAATAAGTGCATCCTAGGCATCTCAAAGCAAGGGCATTTATTATTACATGCATGTGACATTGATTTGTTCTACTGTAAACAGTTCCTCACTTTTAATGTGCATCTTTGTACTTTAAGGTCTATAAGGAATAGTGGTATTATATATACAGCATTATTGAACCCATATACTTTGTCGCATCTGTTTTACTATAGATATTACATAGGTTTGACAGAAAGAACAAAAAAACAAAGAACAAAATCTTTGTGTGTGCCGAGCAGAATGTTATGAATTATTCATAAAGTATGCTATCAATACAAGGCAACTGTTTTAATTGAAGTGTTTAGGTCTATGACATATAAACCTATATTTGGTCTGAGAGGGGTTTTGCTCAGCATGCAGTTTCTGTTTTGTTCGCACTGACCTGTTTCACACTTTAACACACTCTGCTGCTTTATGCTAAAAAGCACTGACCTCAGTGCTTTTGCTTCAGTCTGCTGAGGCAGGACGCCACTGCAGGACAAACCTTCAGTCACATCGATTTCAGAACGAGCAGCAACAACACTCTGACCTGGGTGTTATGCTTTTAAAGGGATCTGGAGATAGAAAAGGTTCACAGTTCCTTCAATTTGGCAGCATTTCACAGAGTATGATGCTTTTATAATCTTTACCATACAAAATGAGTTGTAAGCACAAAACAGATCATATAAATATTGCCTTTGAAACATTTACTTTTTTTTCCCTAAACATTTGCACCTGCCGAAGAGCCGATAAGGGCTTGAGACATAGGCTATGTTATTATTTTTTTTATAAAGTTAGACATACTTTAAGGTTACATTGTATGAGTCATTAGGAACGCAGATGTGCACGTTGCTGTAGTTTGTATTTCACATCATGAGGTCATCATAGAGTTGTGAAAGGTTGATTTTAGGACTTCCAGGTTTCCATTCCACGTGAACAGCTTATGTTAAATGATTCAAAGTTGGTCTAATTCAAGTTGGATGATACAAAGATACCCCGCTTGACTGAAAAAGATGATCCACTGTATTTTCAAATAATGTGTCTTTTGAAAAAAACCTGGAAATGCAAGATAAAAGTCAACTATAAGTCATTGACACAACCAATCAGAGAGGTTCATTTTGCTGCATGCTCAATTATCGATAAGTTTACCTCATATAGAAACCTAATTAAGAATCTTTCAACAGTTTTGATTTGTTGACTCTCGGATTCTGAAATAAAAGATAAACCTGTGATATTCTTAAAATATCCAGGAGCCTTTTGTGTTAATATGTAGGCTGGAGCCAGTCATTTAGAACAACAGAAGACATGAGTCCATTATGACACCCCTACGGATCCCTGGAGGGTTCATAGAGAGAACAAATAAATAAAACGAGGCCACGTTTTATTAATTTGTGCGCACGAGATGTAATTTGTGCGCACGAGATGTAATTTGTGCGCACGAGATGTAATTCGTGGCCTCAATTTAAATAAAACGAGGCCACACTTTATTAATTTGTGCGCACGAGATACTTTCTCGTTCGCACGAGACAACCGGAGATATAACTGTTATGTTTATGTGGGGAAATGGCAGTGCATACATTATTTGAGATATATTTCAAACTCGGACTTCATTTTAGGGACATTTCGGCCAGAGGTGTAGAGCTATTTGTTTAAGCACCGGATTCGTAAAACAGGAGAGTCTGTGAACCAGTCTGCCTTGATCTATGAATTCATGTCCGTGACTCTCACAGTATCAGCTATCTGCGCGCAGAGAGCTGTGTCTTTTACGCAGCGCCTTCACTGTGTTTACCTTCATTAGAACAGCTGAATAGAGATCGAGGCTGCTACGTTTTAAGGTCCTTACACACCGAGCCGATTTTCGGCGTCGATAGATGTCAATAGATGTCGGGCCGTCGATGAGCGCCGTGTCGCCCTACTCAGATTGGTGTGTACTGCACCGTCGTGTCTTTTCGGCCGTGCAGACACCTTCCGCCGCCGATTCGACATGTTGGCCGACGGCCAAAGAAATCACTCTAATTGGCTGTTCAGCTTAGCGAATCAGTGCATGAGAAGCGAAACGGAAGTGAGGGACCTAAACAAACTATTAAGAAGGCAAATCTGAGATTTCATTTAACTCCAGCTCTCGACTCAGGTTCGGGAAAGCCCCATGAGTGTCAGAAAACACAACCCTCTCTCTTTTCCTCCATACCCAAATCTCTAAAAACGGGGCTGCATCGGAGCTGATACAGATTTGAAATTGTTCTGACGTCAGAAACGGGGAGCTCCGCCTATATGGGCAACTCTCCACCTATCAGGGGAATGGGGGATTGGGCCACGGCCACGGCCATTGCCGCTCAAGACGCTGTAGTACATATGCCAGGCCTGTAAGTGGCGCTGTAGTCTGCCACAAAAGCAGCGAAGAAGACTTCTCACAGAATCAGCCCTTGCAAAAACAGGGCTGGAAAAGAGCAAATAGAGCGAAATGAGGCATGGCTAAAATGCATGATCTGTTTGGTATTTTGAAAAAAAAACTTCACAGACATGTTTTATATAGGTATGACCTTACAATATATTATTCAAATATAGCATGATAGGTCCACTTTAAGCTGAGGCCACGAATTACATCTCGTGCGCACAAATTAATAAAACGTGGCCTCGTTTTATTTATTTATTCTCTCTATGAACCCTCCAGGGCTCCGTACACCCCAGACAATTTGACATAAAAACTAAATGGCCTTCTCTAAACTGCTAGGAATAAAATACTGACAGAGAAATCAGATAAAGAGCCTTATATATTTCTGTAGATAAGTTGTCAAATGTAAACTCATTTGACCTAAAGCACTGGAACTTACTCATAAGTATATCCCCTGGTTATTAATCATAGAATATAAACTATGATTTCTAAAAACTGAATTAGTGAATTACTTAAGAACACGACCTCCCTGCCCTTGATTGAAGTCAGAGCTGTGTTTCTAAGTACTTCTGAGAACCAGCAGCTTCCTCCATATCACAACTTTATTATTATCAATCCATTAAGGTTGAAAAAAGAGTGTCTTAATTGAGCTCTGAGTGTTTTGCTGCCTGTGTGTCTGAAGGGAGGAACTGTCTGTCCTGATCGTCCTCACACTGCAGGCTCCCCTCTTCCTCTCCTTTCTTTCCTGCTCTTCTTCTTCCTCTTGTCTTTCTCCATCTCCTCTTCTTCTTCCCCTCTTCCTCTCAGCTGGGTTTTGTCCTGCTACCTGCAATGCAGCACTAGCCTGTGAACGCCAACAGTGATGTCACCCAGTCTGCCATCTCTCCTCTCCTCTCTGTTTTATCTCTTACCCTCTGCCTCCCTCTAAGTGTTCCCTCTCTGTCTCTCCCTCTCTGCGGCCTTGTTCTGTTTTCTCCTGAATTGTTTGCTACTGTCCCTGTTGACTCCTCATCCATCTCCCTCACCCTTCTGCCTGCACGCACCTTGTGTCACCCCCTCCCCCCCTCTCCTCCTCTCTGTCCCATGTGAGCCACTGACATCATCATCAACATCACGCTATCATCCACATCCCCAAACCCCACGACCCTCGAAGGTTTTATTTTTGTCTTTGATTCAATTCAGTCCAATGAGGCTTGTTTATTCCAATACACTGCTACATGGCCTTAAAGAGGGCAAATACATCCATATGTGATTCAAAACACCATGCATTTACCACCATGCATTAGCCTACAGGAGGTAGAGGTTGAATTTACGTCACCCTCTTCATGACACACTACTTGCTGACATCACAGCTCAAGTGTGCAGTGCAGCAGCCCGGTCTCCTTATGACAGGGGAAATCTCAGATAAAACACACAATGGGTCGTGAAAATAATGTAAATGTCTATTTTTTTGGAAGGACTTTTTGCTAAATTCTAGCTATTGCATCATCTTACAGCATGAGTTTTAGATAAGCCGGCTTCTGTGTGCTCAGTCTAACAGAATGACAGCCTGCAGACTCACTGCAGAGCCACGTGTTGGGACTGACAAACAGGAGAGAGCAATACAAAATGTCAGCTCTCTCACTGTAACACAATCTGCGCATCACATCTGTGTCTGAGTCCCTCTCTGAATAAACCAGATGTGATGCTATCCTCTTCATATCCAACACAAGTCTCTCTCAGCATGCAGCCTCCCTGTGACTTGTAGTTGAACACACAAATTGGAAATCATCTCTGTTGACATGGAGACAATCTGATCTGAGGTCGTCCCCCAGAGACATGATGTCATCATTTCAGTGCTCCAGCTGAGCATTGTTATTGTGAAGGACAAAGAGGACTCAAAAATGGGAAAGAAGCCAGAAGAGCAGAGATGATTTGTTGACAGCATATAAGAAAATTCACCCATTTTTTTTTACAGAGACACACATTCGATACTGACCTCTACATAGTGGATTGGATGCCAATCATAACATGCAGGTTTACATTAAATGCCGTTTATTTGTGAATGTCATTATACATTTAGTATCTTTTTTGCTCTCAGTGACAGTCATCATGTCACATCTACTTTCTACTATTTTTTAGTGCCACAATAATATCTGGCAAATCTCTGAGGTGTACAGATGTTAAACATGGGACAAAGAAGGCTCTGGTGTTAGAGTGGTATAATCAGAGACCTTGAGTTTTAGAAACGAGAGACAATTGTACAATAAAGATTCAGTCTCTCTGGACCTGGAGTTCATTAACTGAGAAATATGATGATACGAATGTCATCAAAGTCTAAGAGTTGTACTTTACTCAGGACAAAAGAGCACCCCCTCAGTCGACCAATGGCCCTTTGTTGTGCTACACTGCTAATGCGGTGTCTTTGTCTCCTGTGTTATGTTGTTTCGCTTTTATAAATGTACATTGTCCTGAGATCACATTTCATTAGAGGGACATTCAATCAGGAATAATACGTCTTGCATTTCAGAACGCCCGTAGTCCTGCAGTGTAAGGTCGGCCTCTGCCTCGTCACTCTTTGTTATTTCTGTCTTCTCTCCTCAGGGTTACAGCTTGCTCTTCTTACTGTTCGTGCTCTACATGCACACCGCATGGTTTCCTTTATGTAACACCTGCTGAGTAATACTCTCGCTGGTAAGAGGCGCGTTCATGCTGTAGGTCAGTCAGGAGGTAACATGCCTGAAAGCTGCAGAGAGGAAGATCAGGAAGCTTCACAGGCTAAATGTTCCCCCTTCTCACCTGACCTGATGAGAAGCCAGGAATATTCCACATTCAACTGTTATCTGCTGAGATTCAAATGATCTATTACAATCAAATCATTGTTGAATCTCCTATTGGTTTAGAGGTCAGCTGAAAAATAAAAAAGATACCAAGATAACAAACAGGGAAAAAGAGGGAAAAAGTACCAATAGTGTGTGGTCATCTTAGTCTTTTGTTTTGCAACAAAGATAAAATGCAAGATATGCAAAGTTCTCTCTGAATTATACCATTAATATTTTGTGTATGTGTGTTTGTAGATGGGAAGAGGAGTACACAGCCAGGATGGACATGCAGGAGAAAGTGGCTGAACTGGAGGAGGTAAGGGGACTTATGTTGAAAACTTTTCTCTATATATTCATTTTACATCTGCTGGTTTTAAAATAATTGAACAAAAACAAAAACCAAGGGGACATCACTTCAGGTGTGTGGAAGTTTCATGGTGAGTGAAAACAACCACAATTTAAACTCGGCACTGAATGAAGAAAAGAGATTTGGAGTGATTATTTACCAGCAGTGTGTGTGTGTGTGTGTGTGTGTGTGTGTGTGTGTGTGTGTGTGTGTGTGTGTGTGTGTGTGTGTGTGTGTGTGTGTGTGGTGTGTGTGTGTGTGTGTGTGTGTGTGTGTGTGTGTGTGTGTGTGTGTGTGTGTGTGTGTGTGTGTGTGTGTGTGTGTGTGTGTGTGTGTGTGTGTGTGTGTGTGTGTGTGTGTGTGTGTGTGTGTGTGTGTGTGTGTGTGTGTGTGTGTGTGTGTGCGCGCGTGTGTGTGTTTGCAGGACCTGCAGGAGAGCGAGGTGTGTCAGGATGAGCTGGCGATGAGGGTGAAGCAGCTGAAGGCCGAACTGGTTCTCTTCAAAGGACTCGTCAGCAACGTAAGTCTGCTGCCAGCTGTGGTTAGCATCATTTTTCAAATGTTTAAAACTGACTATCGGATTCAGAAATGTAGAAGAATTTGGATTCCATAATCTATATATTGTTTCCCTTTTGATCAATTTATTTGTTATGCCTCCATCCAATGGCCTACCGTTTCAAGTTGTCAGAAATGTACACAAATGGAAGAAGTAATCCGTTCTCTCTCCATCAGAACCTGTCAGATCTGGACAGTAAGATCCAGGAGAAGGCCATGAAGGTGGACATGGACATCTGCCGCCGCATCGACATCACCGCCCGCCTGTGTGACGTCGCCCAGCAGAGGAACTGTGAGGACATGATCCAGATGTTCCAGGTATGTTAGGGCTGGTAAAAGGTCTGAAACAAGTCCTCCACCTTTAAACCAACACGCGTCCTTTCAGCAGGTGGCCACGCCCCCCTCCAGTCTGAGTGGCCGGTCCAGGAAACCGAGCGGCCAGTCGGCGAAGGGCGGAGATGGAGACGAACTGAGCATGTCCGAGAGCGAGGGAGGCGGGGCTAAAGACGAGGAGTCCTGCAGCACGTCGGCCAATCAGATCAACGAGCAGATGCAGAGGATGCTGAATCAGCTGTAGGTGTTTTTGCTTATAATTCACACACATACTGATGTTTAACCATTTTGATTACATACCGTGTGTGTGTGTGTGTGTGTGTGTGTGTGTGTGTGTGTGTGTGTGTGTGTGTGTGTGTGTGTGTGTGTGTGTGTGTGTGTGTGTGTGTGTGTGTGTGTGTGTGTGTGTGTGTGTGTGTGTGTGTGTGTGTGTGTGTGTGTGTGTGTGTGTGTGTGTGTGTGTGTGTGTGTGTGTGTGTGTGTGTGTGTGTGTGTGTGTGTGTGTGTGTGTGTGTGCAGGAGGGAGTGTGAGTTTGACGATGACTGTGACAGTCTGGCCTGGGAGGAAACAGAGGAAACCCTTCTGCTCTGGGAGGATTTCCCTGGATACCCACTGGGAGTGGAAACACAGGGAGAGGTGCGTGCATACTAATTCTGACAGGCACAAATAGAGTTCAGTTTGCCTTTATTATTCAGAAATAGCTCAAAATAAGATCAGCCAAAAACAGCAGACAAAACAAATTCTATCTGGTTTACAAATTGGGCTTCTACAAAAAGAATGTAAAACAGGTAACGCAGTTTTCTGTTTTTACTGTGTTTAAGATCACAGCAATCACAGAAGCACTTAATTGTTTTACTTTCAAATCATATTGACCCTTATTGAAGCCAACATAAGGTTCAAGGTTCTTTATTGTCAAACTAACATAGCTACAGAGTAATTATGTCGTTGAAAATCTTAGGTCACAGGCTTCCCCAACAATGCATAAGTGTTATATGTTAAACCTCTGTCATAAAGTAAATAGAGAACAAGAATAGACTATTCTAAATAGGGAATTCATTGTTACCCTCAAATATTTCATCTTGAATTGTTCAAAACCACAAATAGTAATATATAGACTTTTTGCACTACTTTTTATTTTGTATTTTTGTATTTTACTATATATGTTGCATTGTTGGAGGAGCTCAGGTCAGAAGAATGTCATTGCCATTTCTACACTGTAGCGTTGTGCATATGACAATAAAACCTTTGAATCTTTGAATAGTGAAACAGATAAACATAGCAACATTAGAGGAAACTAAACCCTTCAGCAGTTTTAATGCGTGCTGTGACGCTCGGTGTTCCCTCTCCGTTCAGATGTCCCCTGTCCCTCTGTCCTGACCTGATGAACTGTGGTGTTTGAGATCAGTCTGGTGACGCTCCAGTCTTTCCTTGTGACCTGTAAGCCGTTTTTAACCAGATAATCCAAAGAGGCTAAGGACCTGATCTGCTTAGTGAGAAGCTGAAAAGAAAAGAAAACAGATCTTAACTCACCTGTGATACACTCACAGCGGTTGTGTCTTCTTTTCGCTACTCAAACATCACTTTTTGACAGTATTATAGTATTTCAATTTATCTGTCAACTCTTCAATATTTGTGTTTCTTTTAGTTATGGTCACTTGTTTAAAATAAATTGGTTAAGACCAATTTGGATAGTCTGCCACCTACAGTTTATTAGACAGAAACAAAACATACCTTCATATACTTGAACTTCTCAGTCGCTATATAATTAAGCACGGGTTGATTGAGTAGTTCAAGTATTTTGATGTCAATGTTTTCCTGAATTGTCACATCATTTGTGAAGCATCTAAAGACCAAGCAAATCGAATCAACTAATATACTGTTGGATTTTCATAAATACTCCAACATTTAAAAAAATGCTTCCCAAGTTTGTAAGAATGCACTCTTTTGTTATTTGGCTTTACTCAATAAACTCTACCTCAACATGGACTTTTTTTTCTTTTAACAGCCGTTATCTGCAAAACATTTGATAAATATTGAAATATAATGACTGCTGCTAACTCCAGTCCTGTTGTTTCCACTCTCTGCCTGCAGCTGCAGCAGCAGGAGGAGTCCATCGAGGAGGTGATCAAAGACACAGAGTGCATGTTCAAATTCAGAGAGAAGGAATACCAGGAGACCATCGACCAGATAGAGGCGAGTCTGTTTCCATGCATTCTGTCTATTACGTTACATTGTGAGGATTCACCTCTCATACTGGGTCTAAAGACTGGTGTCCATAATGTTTTATTATTGGAACAGACGTATTCATGTTTTTATTAGAAGATTAGAGCTAACCTTTTGTTTGGACAGTTGTTGGGTTTACCATTTAAATATTTTCTTTACATTTGTTTCTCTCTGTCATTTTGGCATGTTGATGTTGAAATCATTACCTGTCACCCACAATTGAGGAAGAATTTAAAATGTAATGTATTTTATCTGCAAATTGTGTCTGTGCAAGTATCCCAATTTTAAACCCATGATAGGATGTTTCCAGCTGATATGCACCTTGGAAGCCATAGTTACCATCCACACTTTTATCCTTGTCTTTTCCAATCAAAGAACCAGATATTTTCCAACACATTTCTTAATCTTTTGCACTGATAATTCCACTGAAGAGTTTCAGGATGAATGTCATTGAAGTGCTCCAACTGCGAGTCACGTTACAATATCTTATGGGAAAAATTACTGGCTTTCACTTCCAGAAACAGAGGAGCAAAAATAGCTTCTCCCATTTCACAACATAAAATAGTATTAATGCTGAGTGTCTAGTGTCAGTCATAGAAATGTAACTGTGGTTTTGTTTCCCCTCCTGGTCAGCTGGAGCTGGCTACAGCTAAGAGCGACATGAACCGCCACCTGCACGAGTACATGGAGATGTGCTCCATGAAGAGAGGCCTGGACGTCCAGATGGAGACCTGCAGGAGACTCATCACACAGAGCGGAGACCGGTTTGTTTTATATAACTTCCTAAACTTCAGTTTATCATGCTTCTAATTAATAAGAAAAGTAGCCTACTGAGCTTATTATCAATACATTGTATCAGGTCCATACCACGCAACCTTCTCCAGGAACACCCAAGTAAACAATACAACTTTATGTTTCAATATAACTGTAACTTCTTAACCTTTACTTAAAGTGGACCTATTATGCTATATTGGAAACATATATTGTAGGGCCATACCTATTCAATACATGTCTGTGAAGTGTTTTGCTTAAAATACCAAACAGATCAACAATTGTAGCCATGCCTCATACTGCTCATACCCCTCTTTTGCAGCCCTGTTGCAAACAGGCTGATTCTGCTAGCCACGGCCCTTTGTAGCGTCACGCAGCTTTCCCCTCAACCCAGTCTCACGGCATTTCGTGTTATAGTCAGGACATTTAATCTATTGATTCGTGTTCACCAACACGATTTTCCCCTTTTTTTCGTGTCACACAGAACGATTTTAAAAGCAATGTATTTCTATTGGTAGCATGTTTCGTGCCTGCACCACGTCTTTTTGTCCGGTCGGGTCTTGGAAGACCGGAAACTGTGTGGTTCATAAGAACATGTTCTTACTCAATATCAAGCCACGATTATTGTTTTTATTTTAAATCTTATAATGTCTGACTTTTTTTGCCGTCCGTTAGGAAAAGAAATGGGGCTCAGAGCCTCAGAATACTGAAATCTGTATTTTTAGTAAATAACACACTGTTATTTACTCAACAATAACACACAATTATCCTTGTTTTTATTTATTTGTTTAATTCTATAATCTCGGCCTTTTTTGGCGTCCGTCCGGAACTGAATTTCAAAATAAAAACATTTCGGAGTTTAGGATGGCCGAAGACATTACACTACCCATAATCCTCAGCTATCGTTTGGGACTACAAACTCCGTGATCAATCCTCAAGCTCTGTGATTGGATGTTGGAGTGGCAGTGTGCCAAGGTTACGCCGAGCGTCAAAACTGGACTCGAACGGGACCAGCCCCCCCCCCCAGAACTAGATATGCTGGCTATTGTGTTTCGCAAAATGTTCTATGGGATGTCTCTACTCGGAACGTTTTCGTTTTTCCCACAATTAGAAGTTGCCAGTATTAAACACATTGGTGTTATCAATGTACCTTCTACTTTCCCCCTATTTTGTATGTACTCTTAATATTTTTTTCATCAAATATAACATATTACAAAAATAATTAAATAACGTGCTTTAACCACTAGGCGGTGCACACAAGGTACACACAGCATACCATAATAACTTTTTATTATTAGTGTAGGACACTTATATATGTATAACATCTGAAGATGTGTAGTTTTATTCATGTTTTCACATAATTTTACAGGATATTGCTATAATATTTCACATGTTTTACTTCTACACATTAATATCTGATTTGTAAAACATCACAGACAGAAAGGTATATCCGTCATTTAATGGTAAGCTATTGAAATTCTGAATCCATGGATGTGTCTCCCATCACCCAAAACCCCTGACTATTCTCTCAACTCAGTATTTACATTCTTTAATTCAAAGAAAATCAGTAATATCTTTAAAAATCAGTAGAAGCTGTCAGAGGCCGTCAGAGGCAGTCGGGCATTCGCGGCGCCCTACTCGGGTTTGTGTGTCCCGCACCGTCGTCTCTTTACGGCACCTTTTCACACCTCCCGACACCTGAGAAAGGTCAGAGAAAGTCGGGACACGCAATCACTCTGATTGGCTGTTCACACTACCGCTGCCTGCTGGTAAGGACAGTTATTGCCACTCGTCTACTGAAGTATTTGCGGTGTGTTCGTAGGCGGACGGCGTAGGCGGACGGCGTAGGCGGACGGCGGACGGCGGACGGCGTAGCCGACGCAGGCGACGTAGCTGACGTCCCAGAAGCGTCTCGGCGCAGGGCTCCTCGGATGAATCCTATTTTTGACGCGGCGCAGCCGTAACGTAATGTCGGGCAGGCAGGAAGTGGAACGTTCAAAGCTATATATACACACACACAAACTAATTTTGCAGACCCTATCCCTCCGTAGTCTTTCAAGTAGGAGGAGAAATGCCAGCGTTCTCCTCCGGTTTACAGGCACTGTGTAAATTATATATATAGAATAATTATGATGATGAATGCATTTTTTTACCACTAAAATACAGCAACACATCTTTGATTCATGTCGTTTATAACTGGAATATTACAGTTATTATTAACTTTGTCTGTACAAAGTAGCCTGTCCAGGAAATATGCCCAAATCAACAAAAACTGTGAGCCGGCAGGCAAGACGCTCCGCTTCTGAAATGCTTCTGAAACGCGCCTGGTAGGGTATGACGCCGGAGGAGGCCGGACCAAAACCGCGACGCAGCCGTAACGCGGGGCAGCCGTAACGCGGCGCAGACGTAACGCGGCGCAGACGGACCCGGTGGAATCTAGGGGTAAGCCTCCAGCATACATCCTGCTGAATACACAGATACACACATGCGACTGTATACGGAGACGGTAGGTTGGGACGTGTCACGTGTGCCGGAGTATTTGGTTGGGACGTGTCACGTGTGCCGGAGACGATAGGTTGGGACGTGTCACGTCGGCCGGATGTCGCCAATGACGTTATAGGAGCGAAAATTCTGGATCTGCTTGTAAGCACCCCCCTTTTTTCTTTTTTTTAAGAGATGTGGGTACGGAGGAAAAGAGAGGGTTTTGTTTTCTGACACTTTGTGAGTTCCCTGACACACCGGGGACACATATATATGTATAAAAGACATCAAAAAGTGCATTTTGCATAATAGGTCCCCTTTAACTAAATGTGTTAGCAAAATCACAGTACACAACATTAAAGTTTTATAAATAGGTAGGTTGTATTGTTTACCTTTGTTATGGGTGAAGGTCATGTTACCTATTTAAACTAATGAGCAGTCCATCATATCGAGATGATTGTAAAAGGCCAAAATACATTAAAAATGTAGTGTTTGAACTGAAAAAGCAAAGGTAAATTATTCTGTGTGGATTCAATGTGGAGGAAACATTTGTGCTGCAGACAAAAACTAGAGTTCAGATACTCTTCTCCCTCTGCAGGAAGTCGCCCTCGCTCATCCCCCTGACGGTGGACGACTCTGACAGCGAGGAGAAGAAGATGCCCGCCCTCCCCGGCGAGTCTGAGACGAGCAAACCTTACTGCAACGCTGCCACCCCCCCCCTCACCTGGAGGAAACCTTGAAACACACACACACACACATACACACACACACACACACACACACACACACACACACACACACACACACACACACACACACACACACACTGCTGGTAAATAATCACTCCAAATCTCTTTTCTTCATTCAGTGCCGAGTTTAAATTGTGGTTGTTTTCACTCACCATGAAACTTCCACACACCTAAAGTGATGTCCCCTTGGTTTTTGTTTTTGTTAAATTATTTTAAAACCAGCAGATGTAAAATGTTCTCTTTGAAAGCATCCAATCTGATGTTTGGTCATTTTCACTTGCCTGAGCAGGACAATTAAAACAAAGAAAGAAAACCGAATGTGCTTGCAACACTTTTACCTTATGGTAAAATATAGAAAGATTTGAGCTTCATAAAAAAAGCAAAAAACAATTCTCTTGATGTCCCGCTGCTGCCCTCCCATGGCTATCAGCTGTAACTGCATCTCAGTGAAGGTCAAACAGAACAAAATGGCACTTAGACATTTTTTTACTGGTTCTGTTTGTTGAATAAAAGGACCATTTTTATTTTGCACAATGACCTTGATATATCTGATTTTTTGCACAGTTTCTGTTCTCATTTATTTCAGCTGCTGGCGCACAAAGAGGCAGCGACGCACAATAAGTAGTTTGCACACTAATGCTCTTTGAACAGTTTTACTTATTATTTACTATCAAGAAATGCTTTTTCTTACTGTGTGATTTTATTTCATTGTATGTTATTCTGTCATGTGCAAGTATAGCAGAAGTTTCAATCCTTAAATGTGACCCAATTGCCACTTTTACGGGATAATACTGAACGTTAAGTTAGGATCTAAATTAGAAAATCCTGTTTGACAGATGTTGAACTATCAAAGCCTTATTTGCCTTAAACTGATTCCCCACATTTTAGAAGTATCACTCCTTCTCTGCACTACAGTGAAAGTTATTCAGGAACACTGTCCAGAAAATACATCATTAAGCAATTCATCTTTCTATTAATTAGTAATTATTTTAAAAGTGCATATTTGGGAACTCCACCTCAGATTTCTGAATGTGAAATAGAAATTCACGATGATAAAGTAGCTGCTTAGAAAGCTTTAAATAGAGTGTCGGCCATATATGAGCCTTTCCTCTGTTATGACAGAAGTTGAAGTAGTTTTCTTATATTTTGCCCGGTGAATGTGTACATTTTGCATTGTATTTTATGTCTGCATCTGCCAGTGGGCCATCACGATTACAGTAGGCATATTAATATTAAATTCCTCAACAGAAGCTTGATAATTAGGTGGAAAAAACATCTGCCTATATTAGATATCGGCAGCGTCCAATGTCAAGCATTCCTAATTTCAAACAATGATTTATTTGAGGAGATTTTTAAATAATGTTTCTTTAGATCCGTCACAAAAACTCTTTAAGCCTAATCTAATAGTTTATCTTAGATTTTGGGAAGGCAACTTGTATAAAAGGATAGATATAGGATTGTAACTAATGTTTAATTTGATTTATTAATCCTGCAATTACTTTCTAGAGAATGTCAAATAGGAAGAGTAAAAATGACTTGATAGCCAAAAGCTTATTATCTTCAGTTTACTACCACAGAAGACTCAAACAAGCAAATATTCATACTTGAGGGTCTGGAACCGGTGACATGTGGGGCATTGTTGCTTTCAAATAATTACAAACAATTCAAAATGCTTAGAAATTATTTTCTGTCAATTGATTAAACAACTAATTGTTTCAGTTCTGACAGATCAACCTATAATTAATATGCTAATGGAATTAATGTGTAAAGAAAGCATTACTCTTGAAATCCTATGTGATATGTTATGATGTGATATGATAGAGTTGTTTGGCAACAACAGAAATCTAAAGGGCATTTTAATTTTTAATTTTACAAAAGTTAAAACCTATTTTAAGAATGTACAGTTTGTAAAGGATACATAATACTGTAACTAATGTACATAACAGGGCTGTGTATAATGCTTGTAAGCTTCATGTTCTATAATGTAAATTAAGCAAAGCTCAATGCAAATAAACATTGTATTTATACCTTTCATTTAGTATTTACATTGCTATTACTCTCAACTAATGTAGACGTATTTAGGTATAATATCAGTTCATCTGGCATGAGTACAATTTGAAAAGGGTTGTCTTTGTGGTTTCAGAGCGAATACACCTGCAACAATGATAAAAAGTGAATTTAAGATGAGTTTCCCAGTTTCCTGTGAGTTTATGAGTGTAAATACGCAGAGGAAAGAAGCCATTTTGCAGGAGGTGTTTTGAGAAATAAGGAATATTTTTTCAATAGCTTGTGCCTGCTTTTCTGTCTTTGTTGATATGAGTGTTCCAACGTTCCTCCCTTCAAACACTGAAACATGTTTCATCCAATGAATGCCTGCTTAGTTAATAACCTGCCATGTTCACCTGGTAACCAGATAAAATAAATGGACTTAAATGTAAAATAATTCCTTTATGTCAAGGGAAAGCAAAGCTAAGGCAAGTGAACACTTAAAGCGAAGCAAACATCACCCACCTCATGAAACTGTGCAAGTGCTGCTTTAACTGAACTGTTCTACACTATCTGAATGTAAATAACATCTGAAAACTGAAATAAATCAAATTGTGTAAAAGATTTAAAGGCCTCATGAAACAGGACGCAATAAATTGTAATGTATTTGAGCAAAGCACGATGAACACTGCTGTAATAACCAGATTGTTGTCAAAATACTGTATAATGTGCAGATTGGATCGCCTTCTCTCTTCACAACTCAAACAACATATTCTTTTTTAATCAGGTCTTTAATGTTTTCTTTCTGTCACGAGACTGAATGTTTGATCAATTTAATGAAATATTGCACAGAATAAAAAACATTGAAAGAGAGTGTTTGAATGATTAACTCAATGACTATAAAATGTACTATTTGTCCTGGATTGGTTACTTGATCCTTACATTGGATCTACATTTCCTTTACAGACTAAAATGTTACATGTTAAATGTATAAAATACCTTGAGAATAACTCAGTTCTGTCTCATTACCTGTCTAACAGTTGAAACATTTTTATGTCATGCTTATTTCTTTGAAATACTATACTTTGACATATTTATGTTATTTTAATAGCATAAAACATATTTTGTGTGACTTTTTATTGCATAAAAACCTTTTATTGCATACACTGAAATACTTTAAATATGTTTATGACATAATAGAACATTTCATTTTATGATTCTGATTAACTACATACAAAACTTCTTATGTACTTCCTACGTCGTTTTTTATGATATTTTTCGACATACTATACCAGGGGTATTCAATTAAAATTCAACGAGGTCCAGTTCGAGAACATTTCCTCAAGCAAAGGTCTGGAACATCATAATGTATAGATATATTTGAAAATAAAAGCAAATCGACATATACATGCACACACAGTGACATTTGACCAGGAGGTGAACTGAGACCTCTCCAAGTAGCAGTCCATACTCCATATTAAGGTCTGTTCGGAGACTTGAACCAGCTCCCAGTCCAAGCCCCTACTGACTGAACCACTGCCGGACACATAGTATAGTTTGTCGAAAATATCAGAAAGAAAAGACATAGTATAGTATGACGAAAACATTAATAAAAACGACATAGTATGTTGAAAAAAATCAGAAAAAAGGACATAGGGCGTATGTCGAAAAAATAAATAAAATACATTATAGTTTGTTGAAAATAAAAAAAAAATACATGGTATAGAGTATGTCGCAAATATTTTTTTTAAAAAGGGATAGTATAGTATGTCGAAAATAAATTTAAAAAAGACATAGTATAGTATGTCAAAAATATAAAGAAAACGACATAGTATGTTGAAAATATTTTTTTAAAAGGCAAATATTTTCGAAAATATCAGAAAAAACGACATAGTAAAGTATGCTGAAAAAAAAATTACATAGTATAGTATTTTGAAAATATAAAGTATAGTATTTTGAAAATATAATACTATACTATGTCGTCTTTTGGGATATTTTCGACATAAAATACTACGTCGTTTTTCTTTATTTTCGACATACTACACCATGCCTTTTTTTTTCGACATGTCGTTTTTTCTGATATTATCGACAAATTACAACATTTTGCAAATGTTTAAGATACTTTTCAATGTGTTTTTACTGCATATTTACAAACATACTACACTATGTCCTTTTTTTTGCATATTGTTCGACATATTATACTACAACGTTTTTTCTGATATTCATGACATAGGCTTACTATATTTCCAGATAGCCTACTATACAGTGTGTATTTTTTACAGGTGAACTTCACCTATTGACCACTAAAGTGGTGCACGTGCGCAACACTTTTGCCTAATTTGACATTGCAGACGACACATACTAGGCTTGTTTGAGACAAGCGAGACCTGCGCAGACCTGCGCAATTGCGATCAACGTCTTGCTAGTGCGTTGCATGATGGTTAGTCATTTTGTCCGACTTGCTCTGGAGGCTCACCTACATGAGACGTTGAAATATCGCGGGACAAAGACGCCCGCAGACTTGAGAGCGAGGCGCGGCGAGGCGGCGCAGTTTCTCTCCACGGGCTGCGGAAGCGAAATGCTTGATGGGAAACGACTTGCTGGTATCTCGAGCTGAGCGCTCATTGGTGGGTTTTACCCCGTGCTGGGGATGAAACTCTCCATTGGCTCGGCAAAAGTGTGTTGTTGTTTTGTGTCAGTTTTACGTCGCCACTTCCATTCACATTTTTCATCATTGTTCCACAATGTTTATCATCATTAAATTAATATCTATATATTTGTATACTATACTTGCACTGCTTACCGTTGTCTACTTTATATATCTTAGCATATTCATACAACACACTGTTCATACTAGGCTAGGCTATAGAGTCAAGCTTAAATATAGAGTGCAGTTGGGATAAAGGTCTTATACCGATCGACTATACAGTTGAATGTAAATGAGTGGAAATAGGTTCCAACATTCCTCTACACAATTTAAGACTTGTAGACTGAAAGCAGACCAT